CACTCCGCAGCTCCTCGTTACGCATAATTATTTTATTTAACATTGACAACAGTAAATTAGTAATAATCAACACAATATGTATCTTTGTATCTATCTTCCGGAAAGTAGTCGCTTCTATTAAATCGATGTCCTCGATGTCAGTGAATATCATAGCCAAGAATATAGAAAGAAAATCTTTAATAGAAAAGATTAATTATATCTTTCTTATAAAATTTTAAGGCAGCAATGCAGAAAGTGACAAAAGTGTACGAGATGAATTGATACAGTGCTGTTTGTAGTAGTTGTTTTCTCTTCGAGAAAAGAATATTAAAACCGTGTACGCTTATTATGTAAACCGTCACGTTTATCGCATAAACACCGCGCCTGGCTGATTCTGAATGCCAGACCGAGCATCGGGGTATGCGTCATTTTCGACACGAGTATAGATCACCGATAATCACTCAACAGGCGGTTTTTGCATTCCATTCAGGACGATCCTCGTTTGGGAATATCCCGCGTGAAATCGCGAAGGATATCTCATTCGACGTAACGCAGTATGCAGGTCGAAAGGTCTGAATGGAATCTGGGTCGAGCAAGAACGACGAACGTCGTTTATCGAAGATTTCTGTCTCCGCGAACTCACCAATAACCGAAACCTTGAAAAATCGACGTTCACCGATTGCCAGCGTTGTGTTTTTCATTCCCTGGTAAAATAACTCGATAGAAAACTGATTTTGCGTTAAATTACCGATCCTGGTGAACCGGTTAAGAAACATTCCCTGAGGGTTCAAGACCATTATGTCGAGGAAACATTGATCGTTTCTCTTTGAAACGAATATAGCTTTATATGGTTCGCGAAGGTTTAAAGTGATTGCAGATTAAACCTATCACCCAAGATCGAGTGATCGTGTCGTTAAATGACCAATGGTTGGTCTGACATACCTACTCCAAGATCTTAATCCTAGAACAACACGGTCATATCTTTATTAAAATATTTACCATCATAATATTTTCAACGCACATCGCTCTATTATCTACTATCTTCTCTTCGGTGATTCCACAGATTACCGTACAACTTACGGGAGTTTGCAAAACTTCCACGTCACTGTCTCCTCTCCTGACGCTAACGATCCCACAGCGAGGTTTCAAGGCTAACCAAGAAGAATCTCTATCGAAGATAAACATTCCAAGCTAATTCTTCCTTCGAAGAGGATTGATCCACGCAAAAAGGGGTGGATCGTTTACCACAGAACGGTAACGAGAGGGGGTTAAATTCGACCTCGTAAATCTCGACGAAAGTATCCAACGGGCCTTATTAAATCGTCCCCTCAGGTTCAACTTAAGCACACCCCTATCTCGACAAGGGATTCCCCACGAACGATTTATAGAAAATCAACCGTACCATTATAAAAATCATGTGCAAACGATCTAGGACCTGGCGAGATACGCAATACGGGGGACAGATTATTGAACCCTCTGTCACTCGTTATTCTTTGTCTTTCTTTCTCTCTTGTTCTCTCTGCAATTGGCAGCTTGGCTCGAAAATCCTCGGTCCCTGGCCGCACGCGTGTCCACCTTCGTGCGCAACCCGCACAAAGAACGCTCATTCGCATTATTGCAGAAAATAATGCGTCCCGCCCTGACCATGAGGCGCACGAGTAGAATTGCATGTAGGGTGTGCACGCAGCCGTGATGCACACTAATAGGTACACACACACACACACACACCATACACATACGGAGACAATCACACGCGCGTGCGTCGTTACCCTCGTGAACGTGAGAGGAGCGTGAGGCGCGGCTGTGCGCGCGTGCAACGCAAAGAGGAAGAAAGAGAGAAGACCGTTCACCAACACGCGGCGTGTATGGTTCCCACAATCAGTACACAATCGGTCTCTACGACGGTGACATACACGGTGAACCGGGAAGAATTAAAAAAGAAACAACGATCGGGGCCCCCGTTGTCGGTTCTCCTTTAAAACGCTCGATCGAGAGGACACAGACGGTCGTGTTTGAGCGGGGTTCGTGGCGGGGGACGAGGAGCCTGATATGCGGGCAAAAGTTGAGCGGGGAATGCGTGAAATATGAAATAAAATGAAACGGTTGTGGGTCCCGTCGGTGGGGTTTCACTGGAAAGCCTGTTTCGGTGAATGTACACAGAGTGGTCTGTTGAAAGTGGACTGTTTTTTGGACGATGTTTCCGTTTTAGCGGGAGGTACTTGCACTTTTAACGATCGAGTGTAATATATTCTCGTGCTAGTTTCACCAACTGGATCTTATCGTAGTTTCTTAGATGTTTACACTCGGGTTGCTCGTAGAATAAATTAGTTCTAATCGAAGACAACAAACAGAGGAACCTGCGCAGGAATTTTTGAAAACAACAATTGACTGTGAACACTTTTCGAAATATCTTCTAGTTTTAATCGAACACAACAGGAAAGCAGAGGAACCTGCGCAGGAATTTTTGAAAAAACAATCGACTGTGAACACTTTTCGAAATATCTTCTAATTTTAATCGAACACAACAGGAAAGCAGAGGACCTTGCACAGGAATTGACTGTGCACATTTTTCGAAACGTTTATATTCTGATGAAATTAACTATATGTTTGGTTCACAGTCAGCTGAAATTATGTGAGTGTGTCGAGAGATAAGAATCTACGAGGACAGTAATTTCGGGGGCTCGTAATTGCCCGAAATTCGTGGATGACGCGTCGCCAGTGAATGGGTACGCATGGACGGCTGACAGCCGGGGCATAAAGGATATCGGCGAGAAAAGGAAATTCCTCGCGTGTCATTCGGTAGTTATGCGAGGAATTCGTATCACGAAAAGTTTCCGTGGGGGGTTGGGGACAGTTCGTTGGTTTCTTGCGCGACACCCTGTATGCACAGGTACGTAGCCGTCACACGTGTGTGGACTGTGTTACGCACACGCACGTAATGCCTTACGCACACGGCCAACCGTAAACCTCCAGTCTTTCAGTTCATTCCGAGACCGCGTACAGTGTGGACTCCCCGGTTTCCGAAATCCCGGTTTCAACCGTCGCGTTCGAACTGTCGTGTAGTCGCGTTTGAATTTTCGAATTTTTGAAAATCGTTTTTCCTTCTTTTTTTTTCTTAATTTTTATCGTTGTCGATAATGCTCGCGTACATCGTTGGATTCTTTTACTTCTACGCGGAGCTGTTTCGATTAGAGTTGCAAATGATCCTACGTCCAGACGAATACAAACTCTCGAAGTTTATGCTGTGAAAAAGAAAAAGAAAAACTACGTGGCGGTTGGCAAAGAAGGAACAGCGGGGGAAAGAAGGAAGGATAAATCCAATTTCGCTGATGGATCGGATAAGACGAGCGCGCGTTCGTTGATTGACGCGGAACGCCACGAAATTGTCCTTGACGGGCTCTTTCGGTCGACCTGTGGCTCAAGGTAATATCCCCCCCGTGTTCACCGTGCAATCGATACTGATTTGCATGGAGCTCGTCGATGCTGGTAAATTTTAATTAACTCGAACACGCCGAACGGACGGAGTTTGTTTCCGCGCCCGAAATATCGGGGTCTCTCGCTCGACACACCGCAGGCAGGCCTGCTGTTATTCCGCAACAATGAAAACGATAATGAACAACGATTCCCGTTACTCAAACAATTCCAGTCGACGGTAGAATACGAACGGGGGATTCGAATTATAATAGAACAAGGCGGTTGCACAGATGTCGATTCTCCAAATCGACTAGGATTAAATGTGATACTTTGAACAGAGATCTCATCATCTGATTCCGTGAAATCTAAAGATACATCGCGAAACATTGACCAACGGCATTTCAATCGGAAGAAAATTGCATTTGAACATTCCAGAAGGAAAAAAGAATATTTTTCATTGATGCAATTTGTCGTTAGGAAGGAGTTCACAAAAAAAAAGACGAAACGTTTCAATAAAAAGCCTCGTAATCTGAGGGAAGAGCGCAACGTCCGGCAGCCGGCGGCGGAACGAAAAAGACCCCGCGAAGCCCCGGCGCATCCGGAGATATGTACAACGTCGAGAAGTGAAAGTGCATTTTGCAAGATGACTGTAACGCCGGATAATGGCGAGAGCAGCCGCCACCGACGCCCCAGTGCGTCCGCAACAATCGCCGAGGGCAACGACGTGGTCGTCCACGCTTTTTCGCCGTTGTCGTCGCCGTGACACGTTTCTCGTCGGGCATGTCTCGCCTAGAGGAAAAAACGGTCTGGTGTATACACACGGCAATGAAAAACCGAGGCGTAGTTGCAAATTCAATTGAACCGAATTAACGTTGCGTGGAAAACTCAGTGACCCCCGTGTGACCGTGTTTGTCATCGGGCCTTCATCGATAATTCAAGACGCAGACTTTCTTCCGTCGTTCGGGCAAAACGAGACATCGTTGAATCGGTTATGCGCGTGTGGCTTCTGCAAGGTCACCGAAACCACCACACAAGGAGGAAGAGGAAGTCGAGGGACCACCACGACCCTTCGAGGGAGCGGCGAGAAAAACGGGATTCGATCGGCGCCTCGTCTTTCACGACCACGTGGATCCCCAAGGAACAACATGGAGACTATATTAAATTGTAATAATTCGACAAACATGTTCCGGCATTTCGATATAACATCGAATTACGATATACGATGATATTTCGTAGATCGCGATATCGCTTAACGCGTCTTGCCCTCGAACGATTTTATTGCACGATAGCACGTATCGTTGTTAATACAGCAATCTACCCATCTTTTCTTGTACTTCTTCTTTCGTTCGAGGCCTGACTTTATCTTCGGTAAATAACAACACACGTCGTTCCACCGCGCTCAACGAACAGATAAGTGTTTCCTGTTGTTAGAACCGACTATTGGAAGCTCCGTTTCTTTCTGTCTTTTTTCCTTATTCCCCCTCTGTTGAAAAACGTTTTATATCTAGCAAAGTCAGCCCCTTAACGGTACTGTACTTGTTAGGAGATATGAAATATCCTGTGTGACCTGTACTTATACGGAACACTTTTGCCTGTGTGTCCTGCAGATTTAAATCTATGGAACAAGAGCATCAGCCAACGATGGAGGAAGCTGAGGAGGAGGTGTTCCGTGCAGGAAACATCCGAGCCTCAAGAGGCTTTGATACAAGGTGGTACGACCCAGGCGGTTATCCAAGCGGTGAGGCCCAATTTGACTAGCAGGGAATCCTCTCCGGCCGCAAAGAGCCTTCAAGATGGCAACTCGCCGAAGAAGCTGTTGCAGACTAGTTCCTTAAGACTACCAGGTAAGACCATTAAACAACGAACACTTGAAAATCTAGACAAAACTAAACCGATCCATTATAACGAATCTCGATCGATTCATAGGCACCACCAAGGGCATAGCCGACATTCAGCACGTTCTCCGGAGCAAATTCAGCAAGATAAACGCTGGAATACGGAAAAGGAAAGCTCTTAGCGTGTCCGAGGTGTTCACGCAGAAGGACAACGCGTCGAACTTCTACGTGCCGAGTCCATTAACCTCCTCCTCCAGTCAGAACTTCGACGGGAATTGCTACGATTCCAGCGAGCCCACGTCCCTTCCTCCCTATCCATTCCACGACAACCTAGAGACCCTGGCCGAGGGCAGCGTGCCAAATTCTCCGAACTGTAGCAGCCCGTTGACAAACAGCAACAAGACGTTCACATACTCGCAGAGCAGTAGCACTTATGGTTCACCCATAGTGAGCCACGATCACAGCCACAAAGACGTCTACGAGAACGTGGTGTTTGCCAGTGGCTCGTCCCCAGGCTGTTGTCCTAGAACCAGAGGTCTGTTGCAGCGCAGCAACTCCGAAAATCGTGACGCCTGCAGACACCACGAACATTCGTACGAGAACATCCGTTACCAGCGAGGTCACAGATCGGACGTGACGTCATCAGTCACCACCACTCCGAGTTCGGACAGGCATCTAGCGAGGAGCAATTCCGAGACGAGGGATCACCATTCGTACGAGAACGTCCATTTCCAGAAGAACGTGAAAGGTCGAAATCAGTCCGAGCCGTCGTTCGACGAGATCCATATACCCAGGGTGACGCCCAGAAAGAGGGTGACGGACTTTAAAGTCGGCGGACAGGTGACCAGTTATTCGAACGGGCCTGGATCCGGCTGCGTGAACAAGGAGGACGGCCCGTCCAGTTTAGGGGCCGACAAGAGCCCCGGCAAGAAGACCAGCAGGAGACTGAACAGCAGAAGCGTGGCTAATATTCCTAATTCCTCTGCTACCGGTTTGAAGACTTGGCAAGTAAGTTGATTTGAATAAGTATGCTGTTATTGGGTTTGGAACATTTTTTGCATCCTTAGGGCGCATTCTAGTATGTGAATTCATTATTAGCAGGGCACACAAGACACGGACGAAGGCCTGAACACCGACTCCGAACTCGAAGACATCGACGAAGCTGGCGAGGGTGAAGAGTCGAGATTCTGCACCCTGCCAAGGCCAGGCAAGGGTGGCGCGTCATTCACGATACTGACTGCCAGATTCTACAAGGGTCCTGGTCACAAAGGACTCGGTTTCAGTATCGTCGGCGGTACAGACAGTCCCCGGGGAAACATGGGGATTTATGTGAAGACGGTCTTCCCTAATGGGCAGGCTGCTGACCTTGGTACTGTTAAAGAAGGTACAGCTGATACAATTTCATTCTATCCGTACAGATTAACTTGATCGTTCAAGGACATTAATAAGTTACATACAAAATACGAACCTTATTCGTATTTATCAATATTTTTGTTTCATTGTGCATAACACTATTTTCTGCAAGTACATGCAGGTCACTGTTCGATCATAATCAAGCCAAGTACCAACGATTATTTAACTCTCGGATGCATCCATATTTTGACCCACGTTTTAAGATAAGATTTTTTCGAGTATCATATAAAATGAACCTTAGTTTTAATTTATTTTAATTATATAATTTTCATTTCACAGTGTCTAAAAAACAATCAACAAGCAGTTTAATTTACTTATATTCTGTTGTTCATTATATTTTTTGAAAAAGCATTCCAGTGTACTTCGAGGGTTAAAAAAAATTCTCCATAGTACGACATGATGTGTTAAATTAATTTCATTGTTAGAGATAATAGATAACAACTGATGAAACGTTCTTTCAGGGGACGAAATTTTATCCATAAACTCGAAACCCCTTCATGGAATGACACACGCGGAAGCGATCGCCGAGTTCAAGTCCGTGAAAGCCGGTGACGTGGTTCTGCATGTCGGTCGTCGGGTGAACAAGAAGAAAAGGGATTCCCTAACCCTACCGCCTGTGGCTCCTCCAGCGCCTCGTCAACAAGTCAAGTGAACGGTCCGATCTCCTGGTTCTCCACATTCCCGTGTGAAAGCGTTGTCGCCGATCCCGCAGCATAATGCTGCAGGCGGACACCTATAAGTCCTAGATTGTTTGAAGGACAAATGTGGCTTCGCAGATGCTATCCACCTGCGAGCAATATCGTCTATTATTGCTGGCAATAATAAGAGCAGGACTGCGTTGGCCTTGGGCCACGACGAACTGGAGTTAGCTTCGACAAGTTGATTTTGCGATTAGAACTCAGGTCTCACACGATGCTTCCATTTATCGGTTGTTTCGTTTGCGACGCATGCGTTTCAGTATGTGTTCGACATAGAATTGAATAGAAGACGATCGAGAGAGTTCATTTCCATTACGGTGACTTTGAAATTCGTTAATTAGTGCCCTTATTTCAACGGTCATGGGAAAATGTCGATGGAGACTCAGTGCCAATGCGTTACGCGTGTAGCGTGTCCAATCAGTTTGAAGTAACGTCGACATTTTAAAGACGGGACATTATTATCATGCAGTTAAAAAAGGGATTTAAATTTCTGTATCTTGAGAGCAACGTTAACCGTAATATTGCAATGGTTCAATTTGATAGAAGTATTTTTATTCATTGGTGATTTCAATGTTCGTCGCGTAGACGACGACGAGGGCGGATGTCTCGAACAACTATAAACGAATCAAAAACGCGATGTAATCATGTAATGTCGTATATGTAATTCGTAATCGATGTACCGATGTATTTATATCGATAACTTTTAATCCTTCTCTCTCAATAATCTTTCAAATGACTATTAGAGTAAAATGAGTCGCTCGAGGATCTATAGCTTTCGTACTCTTTCTCGTATCGATTTTCATAAACAGAACAGAAAAGAAAGATGTATTTTTCCAGATGTTTATCGGGTTTCAACTGTTCACGTGGAAGATAATCTATATTCTAATAAACGATCGCGATGTCGAATCGAACGACTTGGGCGACAGCAGAGAAACGAACACCTCCGAAGACTATAGCAGACGACGATTTATTTTTATAAAACGACACAACCGTACGGATGAATAAAACACGCGCGTGAATATCAACGAATCCCCTTCCCGTCCCTTTCCGATGATCAATTCGTGACGGATCGATGCCGCAACGAAACCGCGATCTGAATGGCTTGGCGATCCAACGAGGGGGTACCGTGACAGGAAGCCCAAAGCTTTCCAAGTTGTCGCGATTAAGGATCGAATTATTTTTTAACTACGCATAGAGTTTAACGATGATCGCCCAAAGATGAAGTCCAAAAAATATTTTTACTACGAGACGATTGCGATGAGATGAAGGAAACGATGAAAACGCATATCTATAATAGAACTATATATATATATATATGTATGTATATATATATATAAATATATATTTCGACGGAACGAGCGAGACGCGTTTATTTTAAGGCGTTATGTATATATATATATATATATATATATATATATATACATACAATTATATATTTCTTATATCGACTTTTGAAGGCGTTAGGAAGCCAACGTAAGCGATCGATCATTAAATTAGATTTAAGCTGTCGCGTTCCCAGCGATATTATTCCTCGACGTATACCGCGACTCGCGCGGGTGAATTAATTCTAACAACGAGACTTCTTTCAATCTCATTCCCCGAACGTTGTATCGCGATCGGGCGTACTTTTCGTCCATCGAGGAGGAACCCAGCATCGCGGACGAAGAGCGCGGTTGCAGCAACTTTCTTTGTCTTCCATGGATCGAGAGCGTGGTGACGTTAATTAAGTTAGAATTAATCGCTCCAAGTGAACGCGCGACAACGACGCGCGTTTTTTTATCGACTAACGTGCAAACATTTCATCGAAAGAACGAAAGAGGGCCGGGTTTTGACACGAAGCGATCGGACATTTTTCTGTTGATTTGGTTTTATTTAAAATCTTCCTCGTTACGACGACGTTACACAGTGCGATTACAATAATTGTTCCTGTATACATTTACCATGATCCCATCCGACGTTTCAATCGGAAGGAACTTGATTGGCTCCGATTTGCCTCGTTAAATCGAAAACGATCGTTCGACCAGCGGAGTTCATTCTGTCCGATCGAAGTGATCCCCGGCGATCTGGAAATTTTCCTGTGAACGCGCGAGAAACAGACTGCTTCTATTCTCAAATATTGGGAAATTCTGTCGAAACGACGTTAACGTGTTGTTTTTGCTGTGAAGGCGTGTGTGTAAGCGCCGCGGACGCTACGTCGTCAGGCGCATACGATCGACTTGGAAATGTTACTGTATTTTCTACTTACTATGCGGGATCGAATGCAAATAAATATTTCGTATAATGGAATCGAGTGATCGTAGTTCCCCTTCCTTGGAAACGCGACGCCACATCCTTCCCAGTCGACTGCAGTTTGCGCGATAGAATTATTGTTATAGAAGATTTGGTATCTCCGATCGATATAAAAAATTGTCGGGAAAGACGAAATGAAAGACGATTACAATTGTGAGAGACCCTTCTGTCGGAGCTGAAGCGGTCACTTTTTAACCAGCCTCCTTGAAATAGTATACAAATGACAACTCCCGAACTCTCTATCCACGTAGCGATCTGCCATTGAATTAATTATTTAGATTGGTGCAATTTTTCACCCGAGTCCCACAGTAGAATCTGATAATCTCTGGTTACGGTTCATTTGAAAATTCCTCCGCATCAGTGGATCATCTTATAAAAAATATTTTTGTTAACCTTTACATACAGTTTTAAAATATCATTGTATTCCAACGACAGATCGCTTCATAATTGAAGAAACTTTTATTTCTACACAGCGCTTATTAGATTCTCCTGGTTAGTCGTGAATATCGTTCAATAAATAACAATCTCGAATTAATGGTAGCAAGGAGAAAGATACAAAGAAAAATAATAGATAAATCTTCCTAACACATCATGGGAATACAGTCTACGTGCGGTGCCCTAAACTCTACGAACATATTTTTTCATCCTCGACCGGTCGTGTCGAAATGTAACGGACATTTTCAAATTTCGTTCACGTGCTGGTGAATGTTGTACGCTCTGCCACCACGTCTGGACTCCTTTGGTACCACGGCCAGGTGTTGAGGAACGACTTCCTCGACCCTCTTCTCCCCTGAACTGTTCTCGGACAACAGTTCAGAGGGTTTCGAGTAGACGAATGTTGTCTCGGCGCCGATCGATCGGCCGATCGTCGCTGAACCTTTCAGAACGTTGTCTTGGGCGCTTAACAACTGTTTGAAACGTTCGTCGTTCTTCTCGTCCTGGTCCCAGTGAGTCCGAGCCGATCTCGACGTCGTGGGTACTTCGGCTCGTTGGTTGGTCCCTTGGTTATTGTTCTTGTTAGTCAGGTTCAATTTCGGGTTCAAGTTGAGACCGAGCCACTGCGAGAACAGAGCTATGCCTTGCTCCGCACTTGCGGTCACCGCTGCTATAAGCTCCTCGGTGTTCAGGGAATCCTCTTCTTCGGTGCTCTCGGCGGGCTCTGTCGTCTCTGTGATGCTGCGAGAAGAGAAAAGATTAGGCAGGATTAAAGTGAACATATACGTAACCATAGAGATTAAACCTTCAACATCCAGAGGATTGAGATTTTCATTTTCTAGATAACTGATCTGTCCCTATTGTACATAGAATGGTATAATGGTAGGTCATGTTTGGCCTAACTTGTAAAGAATTATCAACTCCTCAGACTACGCGTGAAGTAACCACATTTTTGTATCTCTTCTACAGACGTTAACGTGAAAAAGGAGTTTGTTTGCGTAGATTAGAGTCTAGGGTTTTCATTTGTATTAGAATAAAACTCATTCAGAAACCAAATGTTTGAAATTTAGAAGATTGTACGGCCTAGAGAGTTAATGCTAGGTTCATTATTGCTAGAACGTTTGAACCACTGGATACGAAGAGTCGAACACCACAGGGTGGAACATTTCATCCATGAAGAAGCGTTAAAGCATCCCGTGTAAACGGATACGTATCGTATGCACCCTGATCGCATAACGTTTTCGGGATCGTACTCACGCGGAGACTTCGACTTGCCGCACGACTTGATTGAAATTGAAGCATCCCATGTGGTAGGTGGCTTGCGGTGTGCCCAACAATGCGGGCTCGATCACCAGACACCCGTCGTAACCGGCGTCGGATTGTTTGATCGACGTAAATTTCGCGCATATTTGCGCCAGGTCCGACAGAAGGTTCATGCACGTTGGTTTGTTGGCTGCATCGGCTGTGAAACAATTCCGATAGTTTACTTTGACAGTTTAAACATCTCTTTCGGAACAAGTTTGCAGTGACGATGTAAATATAATAAAAGTATCCACCGATATTTTAGATAGCATTTTTAACTCACAATTTTTTAGTTCAGTAAAGAAGCTTTTTGACAAGTTGAATCCCACAGTATTTACTCTTGGGGCAGTGTCATGATAAAATACATTTGTTTAGGTCTTTTTTTCGGTCACTCATTACTTTCATTATTAAAATATTAATAACTATGTTTATAATATGCAAAATGTTCCTGCTTAGAAATTTTATGTTTCTTCGTGTAATTTAATGGCAATCATGATGAGATTCAACGTGTTATCAAAAAATGTAAGTATTCTAGCCAATGAAGGGTATATAATGCTTTGATCGTGTTAAAAGCTAATCAAAACAGTCTTTGAACAAAAAAAATCTATATCGATCAAAGAAAGTTCCGTCACGTTGAAGTTTGCGAGTCGCGTCATTGGGTATCGGGTTAAAAACCATCCCTCACCAATCTTAATGGTGGCATTGTGCACGGGATTGTCGCCGTAGCTCAAGTTCAAAGAGACGTTCTGCTCCTTCTGTTTCACGTTGATGCAAGCCGGCCCGCCCAGGTCGATGGTCGCCGTCAGATTCAAGTCGACGCAGCACAGACAATTGGTCGTCTGGCACAGACACTGGGACTGCGGCGTCGACGATCGGCCAACGGCGTCGGGCAGGTCCCACGAGAGCAGCGTCTCTGTCCAAAGGGAAAATAAAAAAAAAAAACGACGCATGTGAGAGAAACTCGCGAAGAGAAATTGGAACGAAACGAAAGTCGTCGATCGAAAGTTAATGAAAAAAAATCGCCGTGCTCCCCATCGGCCGTCTCGTCCAAGACGACGTTCTAGAGTTTTCTCCCTGGCGTGCCGCGTGACACCGTTTCCTTCGAGTCCGCCGTCAATCTTCCGAAAAGCCTGGCCTGGTCTTCTAAAACGGGTATACAAAACGCGGTCATAACTGTGTCAGACCGATGAGTCAGAGGGACACGTCTATCTCCCGTACTTTCTCGCCTTACTGGAACGAGCTATCACTGATACCTCTGAACTCGAACTCCATTGCACGTGAAGTTTCTAAGAAAACCACGCAAACACGAACGATCGTTAATAAAACGAAAAAAAAAAAAAAAAGATACCGCGAAAGAGACCGTGTCAAGAAGCTCGCTACGTGCAGTTCGGTCGAACACGTATGTAGCCACCCACCGAACAAGGCCACACGATTGGTATGCAAATAACGCCCGTTTGTTTACACGGAGACGAGCTTCGACTCTGACAGCCTCGCGAATCAAGTCCCCCCCGATGGACTGTCCTCGCGGCGGGTCAGTAATCGAAGAAAAACCGCAAAGAACTATTTCCACGGGAGCGTAAGGTGATCTGCTCACCGAGAAATCCAGCCGAAGACACCACAACGACGACGGTGGTCAGCAGCACCACGATCGTAGACCTCACGGCCATCGTTTCTGTGTCCTTCTGCAAGAACTACGACGTTCAACGAAACACGGGACGGAGCTTTCCTTCCTTTCTGTTGGCTATTGACGTGATCCTCGCGGTGGAGTCGATGGAATACGCGGGCCGAAGGGAAGTAACCGTCCGTAAACTGTCAAAAGGATACACCACCGTCCGAGAGGCTGGAGATCCTGCCCGGCAAGGAAGAAGCTTAAATCTGGTCACAAAAGCCGGGCTCGGGTCTCGGATCGGCGATCGGTCCGCGGTCGGCACGAAAACTGGCGACAGGATTGGCCACGGCGACGATGAGGTGCCACGCCATTGGCCGAGGTACGGAGGTAACAACGGGCAAGGAACCACATCTGGGTGACCGGGTGACCTCCTTCGGCAACCTGGTACCAAGAGAGGACTTACGCGACCGTCCCATCTGCGGTCTTCGAAGGGGAGGGGGTAGGGCCCCGACTGGAGAGAGAAAAAAAAAACACAACGGCCGTGTTCTTTCTTTCGCGCGTGTTTGACGACGGCGTACACCCGGTTTATAGCTCGCCAGTAAAAGCATTTCCTTTTGCTTCGTTTTCTTTGATAATTTTCATCGGTCGAGCGGTTTCCGCTTGTTTCTTTCGTTCGCCGTCAAGAGGAGGCGCTCTCCCGGTAGCGATTAAAAGTGAAAATTTTCGTTGCACGCGGTAATTCGAGGAGTCTGTCTGCTTTTTCGAACAACCCGAAGAGGCGGAGGTTCTTTTTGTCGGATATATAGGTATAAAACGAACATCCGGTTTTAGTGTCTTCTATTTTCGTTTGTTTTTGAACCGCGAGAAACGCTATTAAAGTTTATGTTCCGGTAATAACAGTAATACCGTTTCTCCAGAGATCGATGCTCGGCCGTGATTAGCACCGTCCCGGCCATGATGAAAGCATTCTCCTCGTTTCCTCGCGATTTCCCAGCAATTATAGTTTCATCACGTTCAACCCGACGAACCGTGATGTTCAAGTGGTATACGTTCGCTTTTTCCAGGTCGAACTTGGTCGTGGAACGAAAACGGTTCGAACGAAAGGGGAAGGAATGTATGCTCGGTTGGACAAAGAGAATCGTTATGGTTACGGTTGGACACGCGGTCAAGACGTATTACCCGGGTTCCGATTAGTATCGTCGTTTCGTGTAACATTGTATCGAGATCGTTATTTTCACGGTACGAGAAGCGCAAAGACGGAGAAGCCGACAGTTTATTAAAACCCCCCAGGTCGATCCTACGTTTCCAACCCTGGTCCGTTGTTCTCCAATCTGTTCCCCCGATTTAATGACAGTTTCGAAACGATGATCGACTTCGAAACAGATTATCCCGTGACGTTACGTAAAAAACTCGTCGTGCCCCTCTGTCTGACCCACATCTTCCCTCGTTTTACCTGCTCCCGACGGTTTCGAACCACCGTGAACCCCATGTTTCCTCGAAATACACCACAGGGAAGAGACGACGACCGCGCCTCGTGGACAATATTTATTCGTGCGTTGTGTCGCGACCCTTCGACGTTCGAATTCCATTGTGTGAAGTTCCTGTATCCTGCCGGGCAAGCGTTTAACCAAGGTAAACCACTCCCGGCCACTACTTTCTTCGACCCACTAACCGGAGAAAGGCCCCTCCTCCTCAACCACCAAAACACCGTTCTTGCCTCGAAGATTTCAAGGATGTTATCTTGGACACGTATGTTTGTTGTCGGTGGCGGCGATCGCTTGAGAAATGATCTCTTTATTAACGACAACACGCGTCGAATTAATCGCCGAACTGTGTTAATAGAAGACGTATACGATTGATCGATCGACTAAGGGGCGATCGACGCGCGCACGATGGTATCGGACCTAGTTTGAATCGTTGCATACCGGGACCAACGACCAGTTTGAAGGTCGGTGAAAAGTCCCGGCGTTAATTGTAACGTGTACGTAAAAGCGAGCTGCACGTCCGACGAATGAAGAATTTCCGTTCCGCTCATTGTCGATGCACCGGCGGACACCTACAGCCGATATAATTTATGACGGTAGAAATTGGCGGCGAAGTGGGACTGGTGATTAGGAGGACGCGCTCGGATATTGGGGTTTGTGTGCTGGGGCGTGTACGAGCGTTGTGTGGCGTGTATATGCGTAGCATTGTTTAGAAATGAAAATAAACATGTATGAAATCTGCGGAACAATGTACAGGCACAGTAAAACAGAAACACGATTAACTTTTAACTCTTTGAGGCACAGTGGTATAAAAAATGTACCACCTTTTTTTTGTACCCAACTCGCATAGTGGGACGTTATTCATACCACCTTTAAATCGTGGAATTACTAAAAATAAAACATAATTCAAGTAGAATAATATTTTGATACACTTCATACAAAAAGATGTATGTGCAACTAGGTACTTCTTTTATTGTAAAATCCTGTGCTTCAAAGAGTTAACACACGGTTGTTACCGAGGTGTATACGAATTGGTTGGCAGGAAACGACTCGACCGAAGTAAAGTTAAATTCCCTGATTCGACCTGTTTTTCTATGACGATCCAATGAGCGCGCCAGTGTTTCAGTATTAATTAAGCGTATCTCGCTAATCACTAGTCGTAATCAAAAGTCGGTGCATTAGCTGTCAGAATATTATCTGCAGAATTTCTCATAAGGCAAGGAGTCCGTTTTAAATCGCCAATCAACTAATTATTCATTAATTACACCCGTGTAAGCATGGTTAAAGAATAATGCAAATGACCTGGTATATTCTGCGCTCGAATGAACACGAACACTATGACTTTTACGTATTAATACAAGTGCTATGACTAGATTGTGGATTTTATGCATTTATAGTATATCTGACAGTTTAAAACTCAGTATAGTAAAAGGTTCGAGAAACTTTTTTTAGATTTTGTTTTTATTACGAACCTATTAGAATGTTTATTTTGCAAATGCGTATTTTGATCGAAAAATAAGTGAAATCATGGGACTTGGACAGGAATTTGTTTTGTCATTAGATGGTTTTAAAAATATATCTTTTATTTTGAATAATACATATGTTACACATACTTTTTCCATATTGCGTGAATATTTCTTGCATATTTCGTGCATATGTATTGCAACGAAACGCTAATTTTAATATAATATAAAAAACTAGGAAGATTTTAAAGCGCACACATGTTGAAGAACCACAACAAGCATCGACGCATCATTGGTTGCAAACTTAAGTATGCCGCTATTACATCATGTGACGTGAAAAGGTTTTTCTCGGTATATAATTTTCTCATATAAAAGACATCAATTTACAGTTGATACCATAGAAACAATTATTGCACTATATTTAGAATTATATTGACACATTAACGGATAACTCATCGGCACATCTAATAATTCTATTTCTGAACGAGAAATTGTATCACATATACAGTCGACGCGTTAAGGAATGTCAACATTTAATTCTACGACAATATCAATCGATTACCGCAATCTTCGCCTCCTTCAATTTTGTACCATCTTGTTACTCTGAGCATTTTCGTCGCGAGATGATTCATCGTCGTAATGCTCGAGAGTAAATCTTTCATTGAGGATCAACGACGGTTACCAGTTTATCCAAACGTACTTGACCCTGGTACCAGTTGAAGGAGAGACGAAAAAAGCCACTTCCGCATCGTTTTCGTCGTCGAAGCAACGAAAACCGCGTCCCCGAAGTCTCCGCGGATTCTCAGGTGATCCCCTCCCCTCCCCACCCCTTCTGGAGAATCGTCTTATTTACCTAGAGCGTATTAGAATGCTTAATAATCGTAGCGTCGAGCGAGGCAGGTGGTGGTGGGTTGACCGACTTTTAAAGAAACCTTTGGGGGGAGTTGGGCGGCATCTTCAGTTAGACATTGGCCTCCGTAAGACGAAGAGCCGGAAAAAAGAGCGGAAGGGTGCGACGAGGAGAGAACCTCATTTCCGAAGGATCGGCTGTCTGTCATCCGATAACATTTTGTTTCCTCACCTAGGATTTCATTCTTTACCGTACAGGTGAGTCAACAATCACGCATCAAACTCCAACCTATCTCCACCTTTTCCCTTCGGTGACGGTTTCATTTTAATCGCCGTCGCAATCTTTTCGTCCGGTTTCCTCGACCTTAAACCTTTAGTTTGTAACATACCTCTAAATTCTCGACACGAAATAATCTATGTCCTTCCATCGATCTCCATTATTAACAGTCTCTAGTCAATTTAATAATCCCAATCGATATCAATGCAGTACACTTTTCGCGAAGTTTATCAGTACTGTTATCGCAGAACGGAAACGATAGATCAAATAAATGTACCGTGTCGTACTACACACACACACACACACGCACGGTTCACCGCGACAACGTGATCATTATAATCGCGATCGCAAAGACAATAGGTACAGCGTGCACCTGGAGGACGTGCTTCCGCACTCGAGTTACCAAAGAGTACCCAGTCGAACGGTGAACACCTCGAGAGACGGCTTTGACCGTGACCGGGATTTAGGTCAACCGGTCGCCGACTGAGACTGGTGAGGCACCAAAAGACCTCGTGCGTAGCCGGCTGGTGAGTTGTCCCCGTCCGAAACCGGAGGCGAAAATTCGTTCCTCAGCGGTGATCACTGCTCGAAATGATTGTCCGGCCGTGGAACAATCGCGTTTCACCCCCGGTGTTTCGCGATGCTTTATCGTTAACGAGCGTAACACGGGGCCCGTATTGTTCGCCGGAGTTTCGCCACATCCGGTACCCACTGTCGCGACACGCCACTGTGTTCCGTTAGCTTTCCTGTTGTTTCAAGTAATTTCTGGGCTGCTCGTGTGCTTTTTACCTTGACCAATAATTAAACGTACGTAGCCTGCGATGTATTTATAATTATACTGTACGGAAGATCTACGTGGTGCCCCTTAATTGAATGGCCTTCTTGGGAGAGGTGCTGTGCAGGTAAAGTAAAGTAAGAAAGGTAATCGTCGGGACACGAACGTAAATATCCATCGAAGTTACGTCCTAACGTTTTGAAACTGTAATAACCATTCGATATAATTTTGTTGTAGAACAGAAGTGTTGATGTAAAATGTAAAATCGATGTAAGAAGCGTTTTTAGAATTTATCCAGTAATAAGGGTAACGTGCATTTTATGTCTTATTTAATATTAACGTAACTCCGAAATGTTGTTAACGTAATCTCTGCAAGTTAAACTGTTATATTTTCCAATTACTTCTCCGACGACCTTCGTCTCTCTCATTCTTCATCTCTCTTGTTATTCCGTCTGACTAGCTATCCATTCCAGGAAAACCATCCAATTAAGACACACCCTATACACAACAGACAGTATTTATTACAGTGTTCTGAAATAGGATCGAATCAAGTCACGGAAACAGTGTTCAGTTTCTCAAGGATCAACGAGACAGTGGATCGTTGAACGTGTCTCGTTAGGTTCGCTTGGAACTCGCGAGACAAATGGTACCGGCTCGGTCGTGTCGCGTTGAATGTCAACGCGCCTTAACGCAAAAACTTGTTCCTTTGAACAATACCGAAATCATGGTTGTATGGAAAACCATGGATCGTATGATCATAGGATGGGAACGATGAACGTTTGCCGTCGCATATAAATTATTCAGGGAAGACACTAATCGTATTCTTGAACTTTTTGTTGCAGCTAGAACGAGAAAATGCGGCTATCCGCGATTGTTGAGTTGTTGCTGATTCTGCTTCTGGTCGCGTTTGCTGCTTACGGCAGAGTTATCGGTAAGAAATCCAATGTTCGATTCTTTTCGATACTAGAAGATACTAACTAGAGTAAATCCCTTAACACTTTGATTGCCATTTTATCCAAATATGGGTGACACGTACATTGCAAAGAGGCTAGATTATTTAAATACCGTTACAAAATTTTGCGTTAAATTAATACTGGAGTATAATTTAAAACAAAACGATAAGCCTCTATTAACTAAACGTACGTATATTCGGGGATTTATAACTTAAAAATGAAATAAAGCGTGTCTGGTCACGTACGACTTTTTTCACTGTGGCAGTTAGAGTGTTAACGGAATGTCCTAGTCTAGACCGTTCAACATAATTGTTTTTGTTATTGCATTTTACTACTACTTAATCGATATTTAAGCTTCAAAATCCCGCAATTGTTAAGTTACTTCACGCTGTAACCACACTCATACTAATCAAGAATATTTTTGTTTTTTTTCGTTTTAAATAACAGGATGGCCGAAATTCGGATCATACTGATTTACACTTCAATCAGTTCTGATTACCTTCACTTAACAAAAATGGAGAATATTCTTGAAATATTAATACACACGCATATTTCTTTGTAAAAAAAATTCCAAAAAAACCTAAAAATGACACTCTAAGCTAAAATACCCCCGTATTTAAATGCTCTATGCCCCTAAAGCGAATGCTCACCGTGAACGATACACAGTCCATAATAACTAGACTGTGGATTTTATGCATTTATAGTGCTCACGGTTGGGTAAAAATGGAATAAAGTAAAAATCTTTCATTACGCTTAATAACGTTTTCGGTTCACTTTCAAGCGAACGAAGTTATTCAGAGGGGAAATAAATTTCTGTTTACCTACCGTCGTTGTGAATTCGTTTATAGAAATATGAATTTCCGTAAAGATCCGCCAGACTGGTAATTAGGATCACTACAGAAGAATTTTATTCATAGGAATAATTATGTAAAGATTATTTAAATGATCTGACTTTCATTTAGATAGGTACATTAACTCATTTTACCGGGCACATACATGCGTCTAAAGATTCTCTCAGTACCATTCGTTTAACGCGTATTATACATCCACAATATTTAAAATGTTAAAATGTGATAGAATGTTGAGCCTGAGATTTTCTTGTAGAACGTGACCAGTCCGAGGAGCGATCGATCAGGAATGGTAATGCTTTGAAGCAGAGCAACGTTGGAGTATCGACGCTGTCGTTAAAACAAGCGGCCGACAACGTCAACAGATACTGCACCTGCAACGAGAACATATGCAATTGCTGCCGGGACTTCCATATACCGCTGGTGCAGCTACAGGGGCCAGGTAATTGTTCTATGATTTAATTGAAGGTAATAAAACGCGGCTATTAGAAAGCATAACAGGCCAGCTGTAATCAGAGAGCGTACGTTGCGTGACACTTGCGTTACATACTTCCTCAACTGTGTTCGAGAAAAAAAAGAATAGATTTTGACCAGCACTATCGTAAATGGTAAATATTGTCATTTAGTAAATCGTATTAGTAGAACTGCACTAATCCAATTTAGCTATTTTTAAGTTTCTTTTATTTGATACTGGTACTCTTCACTCTTTAAACGTTGAGGCTACATTGGAAAATTTAATGAATTGTGGTATTTTGTTCGTATAGAAATAATATTAGTGTTTCATGTAAAGCAGGATCAATGAAATCTAATTACTATGTGATAGCGATGTTTAGTTGAATTACGTAAAATATGAAGTTGTACTTGAACGTACATGTGGTCACAAAAAAAATCTGTAATGATAATCAAAAGCAAAATTTTTTACAATTTTTACATAAAGCAACGCTTCAAACACGTATCTCCGAGTTATCAGATTAGAATTTTCAGGGCATAGTCCCGTAGTCTCTTTAGGACTTTATGCCTCGTATTCTCGAAAAAGTTGCTCGCCTAAGTGTTAATTGTTGAGCGGTCCTTTCGAAACTCCCCCTGCAAAATTCAGAAAGCGCGGGTCCCACTTTCACCGAACGCCCGTGCACATATTCGAACGTGTTTTATCAGCCGAGAGGTTCGAGGTTATCGAAGAAAAAAAATCGATTTCTCTTCGAAAATAACATAAACATCGTGGAACAGGCTGCTACGTCAGAGCAAAGTTATTCGTAATGCATAGGCGTCGTCCAGCCGATTTACGTCCGGATCGTTCGCGCGTCAAGGTGAAAGTCCTGCATATATTAAACGGTCACGTGAAGGAATGCGTTTTCTAAAAGGTCAGATCCGTTCGGCTAATAACAGGACCACGATACAATCGATTTTTAGGGAAGAGTCCGAAGCCAGTGTGCGTTCCGTTACCAGGAGGTTTCACGAAATTCTGCGGGAGGATTTACTCGATTCAACGTGATGTCAAGAACCACTTCAAAGCCTGTCTTGGATTGGAGCTACAATCAGCGACGGAACTGGAAGCCAGTTTACGCGTCAGCTGTTTCAGGTAAACGATTAATCGGTTGTTTCGTTAATTTGCAGTAAGAAGAAAAAGTTTCCAAATTTCGATACCGTCCATAAAGAAATGATCAGAAGTTCCAACTGAATTTTCTGACAGAATCGAATATCTAGTTTTTTCTTGTAATTAAAGGAAGCCAACATTGTTAATATTAGGTCATTATTATTATTTTTTCAAATTTTTCGAAGTAATTACAAGTGATTCAACTATCTGACCACCAACTTTGGTACTATTTGGATGTCTAAGGGTATTTGTAAATCAATAGCAATACAGGACTAAAATGTTAGAAATGCAATAATGTACAAATGTACTATTAGAAAAGAAGATTACCGATCAAATTTCTAAACGGTGTTTTATTCAACGCACCGTCCTTTACTCCAGATTCGGTCCAGATGGTCTCAAATTGCGCCCAGCAGAGCCCCTCCCGATTGTGGAAGCGGAAACGCCGGAGGACGATGACGACGACGACTTTTTTGGTCTGGGTACCGACGAAGACGATGACGACGATGATGCTGATGAGGCCAACGATAACTCACCGTTAACTAACTCCGTGCCAAATTCTTCAGCCGAAGACGAAGACGAGGAGGAGGACGACGAAGACGTTCTTGGCTTCGGGGCTTTATTAGATATCATAACTGGCGATGACGAGTCGACGACGAAGAAACCGAAGGTCACCACAGCCGCGCCTCTTCTTCAGTTCACGATTCCGCTTCTGACCAAGCCTACATCCGCGGTGCCTCTAGAGTCCTACGAAGCGTCCACCGTTGGGAACAGCGTAGGGGAGGAGAACGACGAAGAAAACGAGTACAATCAATCACTGAATGTCCAGGAAGAAGCCACCGCCGAAGAGGACACCGACGAGTTCGCTGTCACCGACACGACAGCTAACGAAGCTGAAGATATCGTCACTGAGGCATCTAACAAAGTGCTGGCTTACGCAAAACCAGCTAAAGCTCCGGCGAAAAAGGTGACGACACTGGAAGTGAACAAGAAGAAGCCCAGCATCACGAGCACGAGCCTGAACGCGATCGAAAATGAAACGGGCGAGAAGAAGAAACCTTTGAAGAAACCAGTTGACGATGATGATGACGACGATATCCTGGAAGGAGATTTGGACGACGACGACGATGACGACGATGAAGATCTTTTCGAAGACGACGATGATGAGAAAGAGACCGACGAAGTGGACGAAGACGAGAATGAGAAAGATGAAGAGACGGAACACGAGAGCGCTGAGGATGAAGGTGAGAAAGCTGAAGATATCGAGGATTTAGATGACGACGACGACGAAGAAGAGGATGCTGTGATCAGCGCGCTGGTTTACGATGAGAAGGAGAATGGAAAGAAGGGAAAAGTGAAGAAGAATCACGACACGACTGATGTAGACGACGATGATTCGGATTATGGGCTTGGTCTTACAGGACTTTTGGCAAGGAGCAGGCATTCGAGGAGCGGTCGTCAGAGCAAAGTCATGAGGCTCTGAGTTCACGCTGATTCTGAATGCCAGTCAGCCGATAAGTCGAGACTCTCTGGATCGCGATCGATTAGACAAGATTTTCGTCACGAAAGAGTTTTTTGATAACGTGGTCGCTGTCGGCTAGATTAAGGAATATTGGAGACTGATGACAACTTTCTTTTCTTTTCTTCTATTTGTTCCATGACAATCAATAAGTATAGAAGGAATGTTGAAAATACAAAGACGAGAATCGAAAATGATCAGACAAGCCGCGAACAACTGTCCGCGACCATAAGCCATATCGTATTGCTTGATTAGTTTAATGTTATTTAAGACAGGCAGTTATTTATATGTACTTATTTAATTAATTTATTGAAACTGTAATTAAACGAATCAAATAAACGTGTACTTTCACAGAGTTTGTTTTGTTCAGCTACGCATATAGGACACACTTCTGGACATCGAAGCCATTTGAATAAAGGAAGGATAAGAGTGTGTTGGTTAAATTATACAAAGAGAGATTAGATTAGATTTTACAGATTAATAACTAGTTCCTTTGAAACGAATCAACTAATTACATGATGATTTGCCAATCAGTAATCTTATTACAACCTCTACACTGACATTTTTCAAATGTTGCACTTGTTTTCTAGAGGCAACAGAATCGGTTTCAATTCATAGCGCGTTTTCTGTATTCTGTTTATTACAATTTTTGAAGAAACTTCTAATAAATTTCAAGAAAAATCTAGAAGACTAAACCCACATCAAACACCGCTGGGCAACGGCATTCGGAGCCACGGTCGCGTACGGACAGTAGGGTCCAACCGAACTTGCTTTCTAGCGAAAGTTTATGCATAATTAATGAGGCTGGAGACATCGTGGCGCGGTTGAATCTCACCTCAATTTCAGTCTTCGACCAGGACCGACCGGTGGCAGACGTTTCTTTTCTACATAGAATCATGTTGGCTAAGTTACTCTACGTTTTCGTTTTGTTTCTCGGGGCACGGACCATCTGTACCGCTACGTTTCACCAGAAAAAACATCACATAGGTAAACAAACATATCTATTTAAAAAGGTAGAATTATAAAGGTTAATTAACTTCAACCTTAATTTTAAACGGTTGAATTAACTTCAATAAATATTGTCGATATAACTTCATTTATTCTTGATAATTCCACTTAACAATGTACAGATATTGGCAAATTCAACGCCTCGTACTATGACCCGGAGACTGGAGTTGGACTGATGCCGGAATTGGAGGGTTCTGGCAGAAATCCTGCGTCGTTCAGGATCGGGTTTCGTGGTATCCCGTGCCAATGCGAGAACCTGGAATGCAATTGTTGCGTTGGTGTGAATCTGAACGTGATCAATTTCAATCGTAAAGCCTGCACTAAATTCACCTATGATCCCTCCACGTTTACGCTTAACACGGTGTTGAGCATGAACGAGAGGGAGATCTACACTAATACTCTGTCTAGTAAGTCAATGTTTACATTTTCGAATAAATAGAAAGTTTTGGTAGTTTTCTGAAATGGATACACGAGTAGAACTTGGACCAGAGTTAAATATAATAGCAAATTCGTGTCAGAAGGTAGAAATAATAATAATAGTACAGTTGTTTTTTAGCGTGTCAGAAGGTCGATGAAAAAGGCATTGTACTGAACGAATTAACAATATTTTCAACTGTTCTTCGGCATTCGATTCACTAATCATATTTTAATTCCGAACTATCGTATACTACCTTACAAGAAAATTAGCGGATTGTTCATGCATTGGTCCATTTAAAAATCACAAACCTTAATAGAAATGACAAATAAATTCTTTGCATTGCTGTTCACGATCTATACTTCAATCAATCCACTGTTTAATAAACAAGAAGAGTATCTTCAGAAAGTGTTATCTGATAAACAATAGTTCTTTTTTTGTGCAAGCAGTGTAGTTTCGTGTCAATCTTTAGCATTGTGGTTTTACTATCGTTCACAGCTAAAAACCCACCTCCGTTGTGCGTTCCTCTACCCCAGTTGCCTATCATACAGTTCTGCATTCGTTTCTTCGATGTGTACACCGAGGGACGAAACCTTCACGCTTGCATCGACTTAGAAACGCGCATGATTGGCTCGCCGATCTTGATCCTGCACTTCAATTGCGTGAAAGTGGGCGTCGATGGAGTGTCTTGGGCGCATATCGGGAACGGGACTAGCACGATGTCTCTTCAAATGCAGACGGTGACCAGCGAACCGGAAGTGTACGACGAGGTGGACTTTGAACAGCAAGATCTCGAGGTTTTCGTGAACTACACGTCGACGCTGAGTCCCGACGAAGAAGCACAAATTGGACAACTGAAACTGTGATCACCATGACGAATTGTTCGTCGCATAGACTTTAGTTAAATTATCTAATACAATGTCGATATATGTAAAAAGTATTCTGACGTAATTCATGGTAGTGAATAATTTATATTTATTTATCTAATACAATTAATATTTATACATGTATTATATTCTAGAGATTGAATATTTAAATTAAGCGATCGTTGTATTATGTTTGTTATGTAGAAAGTATGCAATTCGAGGCTGATCAAACTTGCAAATAACGGCGGTGTTAACCTAGTATTTAACATTGAAGTTCAATATTGAAAGTGTAGATAAGATGTTACCTCAATAAATAAACAGTATTTCATACGAACCGGTCTGGGACGCGTCCGTTCAATGAATCTACTTTCGATCTCCCGGGGAACCACAACGCGTCGTTTCGTCTCGTTTTAATCGGGCTTGTTCGGAAGATTTACTAGAAAATTAAATGTGGGTGAACAGCTACAGTCAAACCTAAATTTCTCCGTGAAACGAGGTCAGGGTAAAGACATCCGTAAACCGGCCAGTCGAGTTTCGATCGTCCGTCGAAGATGTCCTCTCGTGAAGATTGAACACGTGGTTCGAACAATGAGGACTCTTTGGCTGTTCTTCTTTAGCTTTCTTTACGTCCAGAACACCTATCAAAGTATCGACAAAAGAATCGTCGGTCCAAAAGAGAGGTCGGAGAATTCAGGGAACGATGAACTTTCGAAGAAAGAATTGGAGGACATGGCAGAGTTTCGAGAGCTACTGAGGCAAACGATCAATGCCACCGTGAACCCGACTTCCCAGATCACCGCCACCAAGCAAGGTCCATGTCAATGCGGCGGAGGCGTCTGCGGATGCTGCTCCAGAATTCTGTTCGACACCTTGAAACAAAAGGCTTGCGTTAACGTGACGTACGACCCGGACGAGTTCAGCTTCACCGCGAAATTCGCGATGAACGACAGAGTTCTGTACACAAGAACAATTTCTGGTAGGTCAATTATTTGGATTGTTGTCCTTTTTTTCTCATTAACATCACATGTACGTACAATGTAAGTACATTTCCTTAATTCAGAAAGTTAAAGAAATTGTTTAATTCACAAAATTGTGTTAGTAGAATTTTTTGAGATAGAAGTAAGAAAAAATGTATGATGAACGTGAAATCTTCAGATCTCGCGTCGTTAGATTTTGTGCTGGTAGGAAAGGTCAAGCAACGAAGTTTACGAAGTAAAGTATTTCAGGAAAGAATCCACGACCGATATGCGTGCCAGTGCCAAGGCTGCCAATAGTCAGAGCCTGCGTTCGATTCTACAACATATATTTCCAGGGAAGAAACATTCACCTGTGCGTGAACATGGAGGGGAAGTTCCGAGACACCACCTTGTTTAAGGTAAACTTTATAAATCCCATAAACCATGAGAATTCATTTATTTTATGATCGATGTGTACACGGTATGTCCAGGTCGGATTTGATTGCATCAGATTCGGTTCCAATGGCCTGGCTTTAGTAAAGCCAGAGGATGGAGGTGGACTAGGTCAAGTAGAATTCTTGCCAGGTGATGACGACGATGAGAATCAGGACGATTACGATTACGACGACGGCGATGACGACGACGACGACGATGACGACGATTTACTTGATTTCTGAGGAAACACCAAAATCTGTTTGTGATCAGCACACTTTTTGTACAGACAGAATAATGTGATAACTTTATTATTTATTAACTGTTATAATTTCGAAATGATAGAATGGATGACAATTACAAGGTCCACCTGAATCCATAATAGAAATTTCGTGTCTGTTTAATGAAAACTTTCTCTCTAATGAAATTTGTTGTCACTTCCTTTACGTATTCCTCTTTTCACGATAGAAGTGACCATAGTTTTTTTATATATAACGTAAAGAAACATTATCTTTGATCATTCGAACCCACGTGTGAACTGTGAGTTCATAAATATATTTATTATACAATAAGATTAACGATGTACAGAGAAGGATCTGAACGAGGCCTATATTATTCACCGGGCGAAGATTAATTGAAACCTTTAAGAGAATATCGTGAAATATTTTCAATCCGCAAACGATATCGAACAATCTGTCCCGAAGGAAATGAAATAAATGAACAGATGTATTCGAAAGTTTTTTTCTACTATATCTCAATTACCATCCTGTACATCCTGTACAGAAATCACCGACCCGAAAAAAAATCTGACAATACTGTTTAGTGCAACACCAATGCTCGATGGTGGCTGCCTGTAGTCATAGGAGATGCGATTTGTACAGGTAATCGAGTTGCGAGTGTACCATAGTAAAAACGTGCATTAGAACATTCTAAGCATGAATTCTACAGTGTGCCGTGTCCTGATTTCAATCTGCTTACAATTCTTCTTGCAACGGTCTGGTGCTATCAGAGAAGAAAGTTGGTTTTTTCTTATCTACTGCGTTGCATGTTCAGCCCAAGTTTTTTAATAGTAAGCTATTAAACTAATACGACGTTTAAACATGCAACAGGGTCTCCAATTTTGAAAGGGTTCCTGGCTTATAAGACAATCTCAAGCTTTCAAAAGTATTGCACCTGTTCAATGACTTATTCGTGTTCCTGTTGCCAGAGTGTTCTCATTTTGTACACTAAATCTGAGAAAAATCGTAAGTTTGTAAAAATGTAATCTAGTAATCTTTCTTCTTTCTGCAAGGTTACCTCTTCTTTTAATCACTTAAATGGAATGTTTTTTTAAAACTTTTTATCGTTTCATACAGTCTGCGTTAATTTTATTTACCAAGGAAACGGAATAATGGTCGATGTGGCGTTGAACTTTAATAGTATTAGAACCAGAAGAGTTACAGGTAATAATTACTTTTGTACATATCAAGATACGATTTATTTTACTCGATTCCATTGTTTTACAGATTATAAGCCGTTGAAGTTTTGCGTCAATGTACCAGGATGTCTCTTCTCGTCAGCGTGTATAAACGTTTTGGAGCTCAATCAGTTTTCCAGGTACCATTGTTATTACGCGATGCTCGAACGTCCCGCTACTATACCTAAACATCTATCTACCATCAGAATCTTTAGAAATAAGTATCTTTAGAAATAAGTTCCTCCAACACTATATTTTGTCCAAGACTATAGTTTCTGTTATTTCAATTCATTACTAATATCCTCATTACGTTAATTCGTATTAAAAGTGTTCAATAAATTCCTAGCGGAGATTTACGACTTCCGTTGACTAGAACAGTCATAAGTTTAATCTCACCGAGAGTTCGGGCAGAAACAATTGTTATGTTAAACATCCTCCAGTTCATGGTACTTAAATTTTACTTCATTTTAGGTCGATTACGGCTTGTCTTCGACTGGACATCTACTCCAAGAAACAAATATGGCAAATCAATTACGATTGCGTTAGTATATCAACGCAGGTTCCAACGACAGCGAGTAATGGTACCACTCAAATGATGACTGGAACAACTGGAGGATCTTCAGGAACAGCCACGACAATGAAGACTGGAATGACATCGCCAATGTCCAGCAGTCAGATGACGATGACGACAATGAAAATGACAACTACCACGATGATGACAACGACGATGACTACGATGACGGTGACTAGAACGGAAACCGAAGAAACGACATCGGATGTAGAATTTATAACGGTACCAGGAAGCCAACCTACAACGGTTGCGGACATCGATTAATTAATATTTATTCTTAATTATTCGTAAAGGCATGAATTAACTAAATTGATTACAAGTTATTGAAAGCAATTGTAGAACTTTAATTAATTAGAAGAGGATTCTAGGTATAGTGTACAAAAAACTAGTTAAACAATTTGTAAGTCACTCACTTTCCATACAAATAATATTTATTAAACAGACACATGAAATACAAATATTAAATTATCGCTTCCTTTCGTATTTCCACTTGTACAGTGGAGCAGAATTCTTTGTACCTTTACTGATTAGTTTTGGTTTTGTCACTTTCTTATCTTTCAGTGCCTTTTGCATTTCTAATTTCTGTTGCACAATGGTCAACTCTTGTTCTCTGTTGATTCTTTTCTGCAGCTCCATGTAAGCCATATGTTTTTGTTGTTCAATTTTATTCAAAGTTTTTTCATCGATATCTGGTAATTTCATATCCTTTAATCTACTCAGCTTTGGTCTGTTTGTGCGTCTGGAAAGTAATGCTGGATGGGTATCCAATCGTTTAGCTAAGTCAAAGTTTTTAGCTTCTTCTGAACTATCTACAAAGAATGTGTGTTTATTTGGAGTTTCATTTGCAACATCAATCATATGTAATTGACTTTGAAGTTTGTCTATTTTCTTGGCTTCTATGGTTCTTTTATGAGCAACATAACGCATGTCTTGAGTCTCCATTAACTGTATCTGTTCAAAAGTAGATGTGTCATTCTTGTTCTTTTCTCTATGCACCCCATTCTCAATTTTGGAATTAATCATGTGAAAGTAAAATTCATCTGGATTCTTATTCAAAGCACGTTTACGCAGAAGTTTTAATGTCTGTTGCTTTTCTTGATAATCTCGAGCTCTGGCAATATAATCCTTTTTCTTTTCCAAGAGGCCCAAATGTTTTCGAGCTTCCGGCTGATGCCTCTCTCTATGAGTTTTCTGTGTTGCTTTTGCAGCTTTCTTCCATGAAGACATATTTATATCTGAAAGAGCTACACAATTATATAAACAAGAAAAACGTTAGCACAAAAAATATAAGACTTTCAAAACAACCTGTAAACAGAATTTACAAATTATAGAATAACTTACCTAAAAACGGTACGATACTAAATTAAAAACTACTAAACTCCTTGTTAAGAAATATGACGTTTAATTTGTACTGAATATCGTGACAGCCAAGAACAACCACATATACAAATTACTATTATACATATGTAGATATATGTATGTACTCGTATACCTCAGTCAGACCGCATGCAACATTTAGATCACTTGGATCACCAGTGACTAGATAAGACCAATTAAATGGCCTGGTGGCGACATCCGTGGTAAAACTACTTTAACTGAAAACAGATAGGAATGAGAGTGTCACATGTTTTCTGGGGTCACGTCGCCCCATTTCCATTTTATATGTGTCACCGTAGACGATATACATATATGTATATGTTATGTAGCGTGGAACCAAAATTGGTAGATTCCGACTATTATTCCAGAATTTGCCGCTTGGTGCAACACTTGCCGGGAACAACGAATTCCCGGGCGTGAGCACTCTCATCACAGACGAGATATAAGAATAGACCTACATGCTACGCAGTCTAGTCTATACCTCGTCTGTGCTGGCCTCTGTGCTTGAGCACATGATGGCACATGATGTTTTACTAGCGCCATGTTAAGTTGACTAACCTGTAAATGTGATAAACAAATACTGTACACAAATTGATTAAGAATGGGTAAAACATCAAAGGATAAACGGGATATATATTATCGTCGGGCGAAGGAAGAGGGTTGGAGAGCAAGAAGTGCATTTAAGTTACTCCAAATAGACAATGAATGTCACATCTTGGATGGTTTGTATTGTGAGCAGTAATGACTATCCAGTATGTTTTTGAAAAATTAAAATACAGTATCTTATTTGTGCTTTGAAATAGGAGTGAACAAAGCAGTGGATTTATGTGCAGCACCTGGAAGCTGGAGTCAGGTGTTATCGCGCAGACTAAAGTGAATATATTACATTCAGGAATTTCTGTATGATGTACATATTTTATAAAGTACTTAACTCCTTGTATTTTTCAATATCCAGTGAGAATTATAGGAAGGCCTTAGAGACTGGAAATGCAACAGCTCCAAAAATTGTTGCTGTTGACTTGCAAGCAATGGCATCTTTGGAAGGAGTTATACAAATACAAGGGGATATTACTAATACCAATACAGCAGAGCAAATTATTGCACATTTTGACAATGAACAGGCTGATTTGGTAGTCTGTGATGGAGCACCTGATGGTAATTTACTACACAAGTCCCTAAGATTGAAGATCATGTGAAAATATAAATAATTCACCAGATTGTCAATCTTAGAACAGACATAATTAAGATGTGCCTTATCTCAATGGAGAAATAGTAATGCCATTTATGTTTTGTTTAATTATAGTTACAGGTCTCCATGACATGGATATCTATATTCAATCACAGTTATTACTTGCTGCTCTAAATATCACAACTCACATACTCCGAAAAGGAGGTACATTTGTGGCAAAAATATTTAGGGCTAAGGACGTTACACTGCTTTATTCTCAACTAAAAATATTTTTCCCTTATGTTTACTGTACAAAACCTAGTAGTTCACGTAATTCAAGCATAGAAGCCTTTGTAGTGTGCAAAGATTATTCACCACCTGAGGGCTACCAGCCACATATGCTAAATCCTCTCTTGACACATAAGCCATATGATTTTAATGAGCTCACAGGAGTTAATAGGGTTATTGTGCCGTTTGTTGTTTGTGGAGATCTTAATCAGCCTGATTCTGACACATGCTATCCCCTGGATGTGAGATACTTGAATCTATATATTATTTTCCTAAAATACAAACAAACTGATATGTACATATGTACTTTTTTTCAGTATGAAGGAAAGGAGTACACGTACCATGAACCAGTACAGACACCTATCGCGCCACCATACGAGCAAGCTTTGTCCTTATTAGAAAACAGAGACACTGATTTCAGAAAATCCGATGTCAGTGTCGTAATAGATAATCTAAACTCAATGTCTATATCGGATTTCAAGAAGATAGCGAAGCAAAAACGGAAGGAGACAAATGAAAAAATAATAAATTCAGATAATAAAGAAACTATTAGTGAGGATGCATTAGGTCTTACTGAAGTAATGTCCACCCCGCTATCTGATAATACAAATGATGATAATGAATGAAACAGTGCACCGTATTGTAAGCGAACAATAAAAGTGACGACTTTGTTATTAAATTTCGTAAATATACTATTTGTTTTCGGAAATCATGATTATTTGAAACCCCTACTTGTCTAATTGTATAGGTATTCTGTTTAAAATTCAAATTCTATGAGTGTCAGTATCATTTTGTTTATTGTTTCGGTACACGAGTATCCCCGTGTACCTCGTGTTGACTAGAATGAAACAGTAAACATTGAATCGTCCCAGTTGCGACGACCTCGTTCGAACATGACGCGAGCCGAGGAGGTATTTATCAAAAGATTTGCAACCATTTCAGTGTTTCACACGTTGGAAATTTCTAACGCGGTAAAAATTTTACATTCAACAGACAAGCAGAGCTTGTTGCGTCTGTAAGAAGTTGTTCTGTTGTGTCCAGTGTCGGGAACGACACGAGAAGAAGAAACATTCGGACAGGCCGTTGAACTGTCCGCTCTGTACGTCTCACAAACTACCGTTGCAATCAATCGAGGATAAATCGCTACTTTACCACATAGTGATTACTCATCTACCTCTTTATTGTTATTTGTGCGGTGAAATATTCAAGCATAGCAAGGACTTAGAATCGTTCGGTAACTATTGTCATATTTTCTATAGGGTGATCCTAAATCACAGTCATGAATTGAATTTTTGCATTCTAGAGTTCAAAGACAGGAAAGATATTGTACAATAGCTACCGCGAAAGTGAAGAATTTTTAAATTTTACTAGCATGATATTGATCCGTTCATTCATGAGGGTTTACGGTACCCGAAAGTGCTGATTACGATAAACTAACGCCGTAGTTTTGTCTGTTCAATATTTTCATTTGTTAAAGTAATAAAAATAAAACGTTGGTCTGAATAATTTTTAATTCTTGGATGTTACATCGACAAAGGCACGTGCAAATGGTGGCAGTCTCAACATCGGCATTCACTACTGTCCGACCAGAAGTCCATACTGGGGACACCGCCGTTAACGTCAGACGGGAAGGAATCATCTATAAATAATGAATATAATGGTAACTTTGATTCACTGACCTCACCTCCAGAACTCTATAGGAACACGAGCACACCCATGGTGGTCGGTCAGAAAAACACTTTGGATTTCAAGACACCAATAGTCCCAAACTTCTCCTTGAAGACACCGAAGACCAATTCCGCGTCATTAAAGAATCAAACGCACAGCGGCTTCCAAGAAGACAGTTCTAACAGCAAGTACGTGAGTTTTCCATCTTCCACGTCTCACAAGGAAACGCCGTTTCGTTCGTTGTCCACGAATCGCGAGAATAAGGGCAATTCACCGACGAATAATTCTGGACAACTGGGTATCATGATGGAACAGGAAATACACACTTCGAACGTACATTACGTTGACAATCACGGTATCGAGGACATGGAGTTGACCGGCGTTGAGGGTGAAGCATTGCCTGACTCTAAAAGTTCAGAGATACCCGAGAAACGATCAGAATCCTTGAAGAAAGTACGATTTTCGGACCAATATGAGCCTCAATCAGAGCCTTGTAAAACTAGATCCTTCAGCGTGACTGAAAATGAGGAATACTTCGAGGCATGCGAGACTCTGTCCGAGATGAAGGAGTCCCTGGAGAACTCACAGATCCAGATCTACGCACAGAACACGATGAACTCGCAAAAGGAAAATCGTAGTCCAGATGGAGGTAGCGTGAATGTTAATCAAGCCTCGGCTACGTCGAGGGTACTGATGATGGTTGTAGTGGAGAACAATTCCACCCTTTCGACTTCTGAACTTATAAACTCTGGTCTGAAGAAGCTGGAAAGTATCACTTCAGGCAACAATCTATCGAACAGTAACCATACCTCTTCTGCATGCAGCAGTTCAGTGACGACTGTCGATAGCTATTGCAGTGCCTCGAGTCATGATTCCTATACTACGTCGAACCATGCAGTCGGTTCCGTTAGGCGAGACTCGGACTCGTCGAACAGCAGCGGGAGTACCAGCTCTGGAGGACTCTTTTACGCGGTCGCTAATGCTGTGAAGACTGTTATGAAAAGCTTCTCTGGTAAATATATGATTGTCTTTTGTAGAAATGTAATTACGTCCGTTGGTGGTACAACCGACCAGATAATGATTCGCGTTGAAACAAATATTAATTTTCTAAAAGGGAGAGTCTTGAAAACGAAGTCCTATTTGCAAAAATATTATTCTAGATATTCGACATGTTTTTTTTTTTATTAAGAATTACCCCCTTGTCGATAATATCGCAAATAACGAATCACCAAAAAGAATATGTGGTTGTAAGAGAGAGTCCTATAAACAGAATTCGACAAAGAATCTTTCTTCCATTCGACTACTATTCAAAGAGTTTTCCATTCTAATTTCTTATTACTTCACCCACAGGTGTAGGAACATCTAGGAACAGTGAAAGGGAGCAAGTTTCCCAGAGGGATGACGTTACTCCAAGGCCGTCTACGTCCGACACATTTAATCCGATGTCGAGCTTCGCGGCTTCGCTTTTGCGGAGACCTGGGAAGCGTACAAGGGACAGTTTAGACAGCCCATCCTCGTCCCACAGGCAAATGGATTTGGCGGTTTCTTCATTGGAATCTAGAAGTCCACTTGCCAAAAGACATCGTGGATGGTACAGGATAAAGGCCCGAGAACCGATCGCACGGATGCGGAACAGTCAACTTACGTCACCCAGAGGAGTGTCCTCGGAGACTCAAGTCTTTCATCAGGGATCGTTATCCGTTGGCGACACGGTTCTTCCACTTCCCTCTAGGGCACACCAATCTACACAAACTGACTGATACTGAATTGTATTTACAGCTTTCAGCAGCTGCTTCCTCCGGATATAAATCACGTTTAAGTTTTAATTCCGGTTTTAGTTTTAAGTCAAGTTCTGTTAAAAGTGAGCTAGGAAATTCATATGCATGCGTCAGTTCTATCAGTATCCACTGTAAGAACTTACATAATGAAAATGTGAAATAACAGTATTTTTAAAGGCTGATTCTTCGACGTCAGTTTTTTATTAGGAAGTGACAAGAAAATTGAAACATATAATTCTGTATGTACGTGTTTCTGAACTGCTCTACGTACTCGTTAATCGTAGTTTTTATGTTTATTTGCACTGTTTCATTGTATTTATAGATATTTGTTTATAATATAAGTGAAAAATTTGTTTTTACAATTGTTAAAGGAAATGAAGAAATAAGAAGTGTGTATGTATGTGTACGAGAATAATTGCGAAAGTGTTATCAAATATTTCAATAATCTATCAATAATGATGTGTCTACATTAATATATATTTACGTATACATAATAAATATTATTAAGAGTATCTGTGGCGCCATCCATGTCAAAATGGTCAAGCTATTAGCCAATTTAATGTCTACCAGATTGCGTGTTTTGCCACGGATGGCGCCACCAGGCAAATTAACCGTTTCACCTTATCGTAATCGAAATTCTCGCACGAGTTTTGACATTTTAGCCACAGACAAGATATAAGAATTAGACCTTCGGCGAACAACTTTTTTCCTGAGCCTAAATCTTTAAAAACCAAAATTCCCTCGCCAGACATCTCTGTTCTTCAGCTTAGATCTAACATTATCTTAATATTCTAATATTGACTCTACCGAGTTGAATTGTTTTTGTCGGTTAAACCTTCATTGAAGGACCCAAACATCTGGTACGGTCATTTTTCACATTGAAAAAAAAAAGAACACAGGATCCAAGAGAAACTTATTCAGACGAACGAAGGGTTTCGAGACAACTATCAATTCCGCGACGTTTTATACCTTAAGGTGTGTTCTCCCACCCTGCCATTTCGTTTTACGCGTCTGTTGGAACTCGAAGCACACGTCGATGCTATCTTTATTATTTTTCGCAAATCACAGCCATTTGATGGATGCATTTGACATCTGTGGAGAATTGTATTGCAGTGTGTGATGATTTAAAACACATACTAGGTCATCTCACAAACTCGTGTGGATTTCTAAAGAAACGTTTACATCGATATTTGATAAATTTCTGAGTGCTGCATTATCCTCTGATTTAATTATTCTCCGTTAGTTATTGACGTCTTCTGAAATATACACGGTATCACGTAATGTAGTATAACAGCGTAGGTAGTGATTCTACGTGAAAGAATAAATTGAAAATATAAAATGGAATGTTTTCATTTACGAGAAAATTGACTTTGAAAATCTGTTGGATAAGCGTGCAATTGAATAGGATTTGTCCAGCACGTCTGGTCATTGAATTCCGTTTCTACTTACTACTCTGGCGAATATACGCGTTCCAGATTAATTTTCAAATTTGATTCTCTCTTTTCTACATTTTCCTTACCCGTTTGTACCACCAGTTACATAACAACCTGTACAAAGGGCATGTGCATAAAAAAAAAATGAGCGACCTTGAAATTTGCCTCGATGTTATGATCGATTAAAACCCACTCATTAAAATTGAATAACCCTTTCGAACCACCATTATTCCAACATTGGTAATTTACTAGTAGTTTCTGTTACGAGAATAATGGTAGGTATACACGTGGACTCATTTCTTCTGACACGGAATTCAATGAAACACCCACAAGCACCCCATCGAGATGCGAATCAGCGTATTCTCTCATTGCTCATATGTGTGATCTACGGTGAACCCGATATTAGTCTACATATAGTCATCACTCATAGCCATCATTACCAGAAGAATTAGGTTACCTCCCAACGGATATACAAAGGGGCCCTACAAATTGGACTGTATCCTGCGCGCTTTCGAAATAATCCGCGGCGAACGTACCAATTGCGATCCGCATTTCTGACGAACCCCGTCCAGGAGAGAGATCCAATTAGATCACCATCACTTATGGATTTACCAACGGATTCCGAAGGTGAACGTACACGGTCTATTGTCCATTAATTTGATAAGCAGAGGTTTACGTGGTTAACGTGACTGTGCAATTCGCTATTAAGCGATCCACAGCAGACTCGTGTCGTTCTGGAGACAGTTTCCATGAATTTTCAATCTTGGTCAAGGTAACGAAGATGTTAAAATCATCTTACTGGAGAGATTCGTTTACACGATTACATGATTTACTTCGGGTAATCGTAACTCATTTTTCAGGCAAATGGTACACAGATTATAGTGTTCCCTTTAATTGGACGGAACAAGCCTTCCCAAACGGCACGCGCACGCGGTTGCTTCGTGTACCATTTACGTTCGCAACTACGCCTTTACTCTTGGGTGTACTTAGGTCGAGACACAGTAACTCGTTAATACGTAATGATTTCTTTTAACGTATCTGGAATTCAATTGAAGTACGTTTCTACAAACGAGGGTATTGATTAGCAATTACGCATATAATTGAGGCAGCAACTGGTGAAGAACTAGGCCACAAGAATGCACGGTTACGTGTACGCTCATAAGTATAAGAACACCTGTCGTACATGAAGAACATAAACAATAAATGAATTATTAACACTAGAACTACCAAAGCAATCAAAATGACTGGTATATAAAAATTCTCCTATAAAAATGATTACAATGTCCTAACAATATGTTTTCTGAGATTTTTTGCAACTTTTATTGCAATACATTGGGTCATCTGAAAAGTTCGTGAATTCATATCATATTCTTATTTACTACCTTCGTACAAATTAATTCCAATTTTCAATCAATTCCATTGTACTAGTTATATACAACTTCGATTTTTTTTCTAAAAATAAAAGCTTTTCTAATTGGGTAAATGCTAAAAAATTTCCCCCCCAGTTAACCTCGCATTTCGATGAGTTACTTAATACCCATAGAAGCGACAGTGTTATGCATCAGAAGGGGTTCTCCACCATCCGTAAACAGAACAATAAAATAAACACAGACCGCTCGGACACACTTTCATCGTTCGTGGAAGGGCTCGTCAAGGGATGAACGGTTCGTGGTCACCTATTTAGAGCAATTTAATCGACGCCGTGGATCCAATCGACACGGGGTCTATTTCTACGAAACAGACTCTCGCGCGCGGTACACATTTTTCTCCCTTCAACATATTCAGTGCCGTGCGACCTGTCGTGATGAGTGCCCTCTTCCTGTAACCGTCCCATCTCTTTCGCTCTAGGTCCCCGGCTCCCTTCGCTCTTTCGTCGTTCGCCAATCCTCTCCCTCCCGCTCCTCTAATCAGCTTCCTGGATGGGGCGTATTATCTACGGCGATGGTGGATCGTAACTACGCGATACCTAGCCAAGTCCCGGGGTTTCGATCGTACGGTAGTCACTCGGCTGTCCATCGCGCGTAAAAGACCCGCGACAAGATCCCGCGATTACGGATGTCGCTCAGATTGTTATACGATTCCGTGGTGTCAGTGCAGTGATCCTGGAACGGTGCTTCGATTACCACGGATCCCCAGGTGTGACCTTCTACGAGAGACCTGTTCCTTTAGGTGTTCCCCTGTTGACTCTCTGTCATTTGTCTTAGTGTCCATTACCTTGGAATTGTTTTTGTTTTTTAGTATACAAAATTTCCTTACGGAGAGTAATTTTCTTGACCGTATAATAAACCGCAGGGTTCAAATCAAGCTTTCGTTTTGTACAGCAATGATCTTTTTCGTTTGTAAAAACAGATGTCGCAGCGGTGAAGACCGCGGGATGATAGAGAACGGGTTCAGGATCATCCTCGTGCCCAGAAGGAGGCTCTTCAAGAATTCTTAAAGCGGTGCTGTCGCCGGGGAGCAACCGCGATGTCGTTTTCGCAACGTATATCCGGGGCCGTCGCGGTCCTCAGGGGCACTTCGGAGATCAAGGAACCTCGCACGTGAGATCCGCGATCCTCCGATCAACCTTTTCTATTGTATCTACCACTTCTTTTACGCGGAACTATTTCCAGGTCGTGTACCGACGACATCGAGAAGATAACGTCCGAGGACGAGGGCAAAGTGCGTCATCAGGTGACGCCGCTCGACAGATTGCAAATTGTTAGTGGCGGTCCATTGTAGATTTTAGTGATGATTTTAGTTAGATGTATCCGACAAGTTAACCACGGTACATAAATTGTAACTGTAGGTAGTGGATTGGATAACGGAGAACATGCTTCTTGTCTTCACCGTGATCGGAGTGTTGATGGGCATTATTCTTGGTTTTTTCGGTCGATTAGCCAATCCGTCACCCACGTCTATCGCTCTCATCAGTTTTCCCGGGGAGCTGCTTATGCGGGTGCTGAAGATGTTCATATTACCGTTGATTGTTTCGTCTCTTGTCTCCGGTGATTATGCAACGTTTGCGAAATTCATTCCGATGGGATGAAACGTTGCTCTTTACAGGCCTCCTCGTACTGAACCGACCATTTTCCAGGAATGGCACAGCTGGACGCCAGAAGTTCAGGTCGAATGGGCGTCCGAGCATTAACGTATTACACCGTAACGACTATTATTGCGGCTATAATCGGTATCACGATGGTATTGATGATCCATCCTGGCGATCCTAGAATCAAATCTACCATACCCGTGCACAGACCGGATGACATCAAAGTGTCCACCCTGGACGCTATTATGGACATCATTAGGTACTGTTGGTGGAATAGATACTAGTATGATCGTAAAATCGCCAGGGAGCTACAAATTATTAAGTTTTCAATGCCGAGAAAAATAAAATAAAATATTTTAGTGATTCCCGTTGGTTACCAGTAATATCTTTCCGAATCGTTAAAGCAGCAAGACCCATTTCGTCAATCTTATAATTTACAATCATACCGTATCATTTCCATTGTCTGCGCACAGAAGACAGAGGAGAACGTCCAGTATAATAAACGATGACTACTATACTCTAGAAACATGGTGCCGGAGAACCTGATACAGGCGTGCTTCCAACAAGCGCAAACCACTTACGTAAAGAAGAAAGTGTTGGTCATAGGGAGCGCGAATCAAAGCGATTACGTTCTGGAGCCGACGTTAATCTATAAGGACGGGATGAACGTGATGGGAATGATAGTGTTCTGCATCACGTTCGGCCTTCTCGCCGGACAGATCGGTGAACGTGGGAAGCTGATAGTCGACTTCTTCGTGGTGCTGAACGAAATAATCATGAAACTCGTCAGTATCGTTATACTGTGGTGAGCGATCGGGTCACGGCTTAATTACACGCTTGGTAGTTTTCCCGCTATTGTTCGATAATTCGACGAAGTAATGTGGGCTCGAAGTCTTGTTATCACGCAGGTACTCCCCGTTCGGAATCATGTGCCTGATAGCCGGCAAAATAATGTCGATCACCAATTTCGCGGCAACTGCTCAGATGTTGGCTCTGTACATGATCACAGTGATCCTGGGTCTGCTAATCCATGCTATAATCATCCTGCCCACGATATTTTGGTTGTTGACTCGCCAAAATCCGGCCGCGTACTTCCGGGGTATGATCCAAGCTTTTGTGACAGCCTTGGGAACAGCGTCCAGGTAGCGATCGACGAATGTGTTTAACCCTCGAATAGACAAATAGCTGTACTGATAACACAAGTAGCGAAGCCTGAGTTCATTTATCCATTTTTTTTTTCTTATCAGACTTTGTATAAACGGCTGCGGACTTGAATTTGTAAATTGGAAAGTTAGGTGAACCTTTTGGGAACCTGGGTCAAAATAGATTAAGTGCAGCCGCTCACGAATGAAACTTACAAAAGATTGTGCGTTTACACGTTCTCGATTATTCTAGCGCCGCAACTTTGCCAGTGACTTTCCGTTGTCTTGAAGAAAATAATAAAATCGATCCGAGAGTGACTCGGTTTGTTGTGGCGGTTGGTGCCACGGTGAATATGGACGGTACAGCGCTTTACGAAGCTGTTGCCGCGATTTTTATCGCTCAGGTGAATGGGATTTCGTTAGGATTGGGAGAAGTTATAACAGTCAGGTTTGTATGATGAATGTGATACGCGTGGATGTTAATGCTGTCATTTATTTTCATACTCCTTCGTTTCTACAGCGTTACAGCGACCCTAGCGAGTATAGGAGCGGCTAGTATTCCCAGCGCTGCCTTGATAACGATGTTAATTGTACTCACAGCCTTGGGACTACCGACTAACGACGTTTCATTGCTGTTTACTGTCGATTGGATACTGTAAGTTCACTTTTCATGTTGTAATTGCGAATAGTTCGTAAATAATATTTTCTTTGATATTCGAAGGGACCGTATCAGGACACCCATAAACGTTTTGGGCGATGGATACGGAGCCGGAATAGTTTATCATTTAAGCAAAGACGAGCTCTACAAAATGGACCAGGAACGGAAATTAGAAGGTCTCGAAAAGGGAACACCACTAGAGGACATCTCGGAGAGTTGTCGACGCGACAGCGCACCTGCTCCCGAAGAAAATTCTGAAACAAAGATCTGATTCACAAAGATATCGACCTTCTTTCGCGGACTTTTATAAACTTCTCAAACGGTGCGACGGCATAAAAAAAAATTGTGTTCATCCTCTACCCCCTTCCGCGTTCCATGAATTGAATGATTGCTACGGAGAGAGAAAATTGATAGCGATGAAACTTCTTTCACTGCCGAAAAAGTTTTGGGACCCGAATACATTGTAATTTAATCGATGATATCGTTACAACTGTTGTTAATGATTCAGTAGTAGTATTGTAATCAACGGATATACGGAGTGCAATAAAAATGTGAGCATGTCAAGTACAAAGCGATATCGTTATCTATTTTTAATCGCCTGTTTACAATCTAATAAAAGTTGTACCGTTTTCAGTATGAATTAATGGAGAATTCTATTGTACAGAAAGTGAAACGCAAGTGTTCTTATTTACGTATTTATAAGTTTAATTTGTTACAGGCCGAATATGATATTATCGGTTCATTTAATGAATTAAATGTCCTGTCACACATTGGATGATTTATCCGATAGGAAGAAAATGTAGGATTTTATAAATTTTGTTTACAATGTTTGTGCGCTGTAACTTGTTATTTGTTGTATGCATAGTACGTGGTCATAAAAATAAACGGACATAACGTTGTAACGATTTGAGTGTTTATATCCTGAACAAGATGTAATAATGAACGAAATTGGGCAGGTGGAACAGTGGAATAGATGTATTTTTGAAAGAATTTATCCTATGTACATACATATACAATACATCACGTTGTGCTTCTTCAACAATATTATTACTCTGGCTAGTAACTCGCGAATTGCTTGTGATATATTTAATTAAATAACGACATACTTATTTAGTTAAAAAATATATATTCTTAATGCTAGAAATCCTTTGGATCAGTATACATGTACCATACCATATAAAAATCTGATTATAGATTAAGGAAAATGTGTGAATATAAATATTACACTTATAGATTTGAAAAGCAAATAACATTCAATGTTTGTGGTTGAACACAAGCATTTTAATATTTTAAAAAGGATACGTCCAAAACAGCACATATGTCTGTTGCATGGGAAATTGTTTCTATTAAGGAAAACATGTATACCATAATAAGAATACGGTAGGAAAATGCATTTTTTATAATATAAAGGATACAAATAGACCTCCGAAAAATCCACCCGTCAAAAGATTTCGTCTGCTTATAAAATATTTTTTCCCTTGACCGCCAGCTTTTAGTAGTAGCATTGCCTACAAAAATGTTATAGTAACTTAACAAATTGCAGAAGCAACAATATTCTATTTCTTAAATTTTCTTACCCATAATCCAAATACTGCAAAAATGTAGAAGCCAAAACCGTATAAACCTGTTAATCCTAATAAACCAGCTGTACCACCTGACAAAGCTGCCATTGATATCCTACAATACTCCACAACAGCAGCATTATTTACAATAGCTGCTTCACTATACGCAACAATTTCTGCAAAAGTAAGTGCAGTCAATTACATACTAGCCTACATTTATCACTTGAATAGATGAAGAATGTTCACTACTAAAAACAAATCACTTCATTCAGAAAATGAAAAAAATACAAATCCTATTAAATTAATTAAAATTTCACTACTTTATTGTAACAAGATTGTTACAATAGCATTGCTTATTGTTAAACAAAACCATAACCTATAACAGAAGTTACAAGCATTCGATCCTATGAAGTATCAAACATAACTGAGGTAATAAATAAATTAATTTTTTCAATACACACCTCCTTTCTCTTGCTTTGTCTTTATTTTCCCCAACATTATTGTACTTCTGTCAATGTAAATGCACAATTTATATAATTTAACCTAACAAAACATTCGTTGATTACGTATATACAATGACAATGACTGTGTTTTGTCGGCTACTCCTGTCAGGACACGGCACAATGTGCCATCTATATTAATCCAAAACTAAAATTTTTGTTGATAACTGCTCATGTTCTGAAATACCGATAGTGTAAAAAGTCAGGGATTTTCTGCTGCCCTCTACGTTATGAGAACGGTGAATTTGTGAACTACGTTAAATCCATTCGAGCTCAACTAGTACCATGGTCGCAAACGGATTCTCTTCCGTCCGTTCGCTGTAAAGGAGACGTATAATCTAGAAAGGAGTCTTAGGTTCAACTCCCGACGGACCTATTGGTTTTTTTTCGCGTACAAAAAAGTTATTGCGTTTCATATTGTTTTTATGAATATGTATATGTATTATTATGTACATTTGAGTAAATTATTTTATTATTCCATTGTTATTACAACAGTTTAACAGTGACAAGGAACGCATGTATATTTTCAAATATCGGATTAACAGTATATTTTTATTCTATATTATTATATATAACTGAGTAATACGTATCAAAAACGTAATCGAAACACAGATTTTTATTACACCACAAATATCGCATAAAAGATATTTCGTTATATTGACATTTGTAATAATTATGGATTTTGCGGGGAAATCAATATTATTGACATTATGGAACATATAACGAAATATCATTCGAACACTTAAGAAAGTGTTAAAGTTCCCTTTATATCACTGTCCTGTGAAAATGTTCATACTTCCAGCAGCATTCATATTCCAATCAAAGAATTTACAGAATAAGGAAAAGGAATCTAAAGTAATGTTCAGTAGTTCCATACATCTTTATCTCGAATAATTTTCTAAAATATTCAAAGTACTAGACATTTTTACACTTTGAATCTCATAACGATTTTTAAAATAATCCTAGTTCGATGTAATATAGAACGTGGTTTTATGAAATAGATTCGAAGTTCGCAGCCATTAGCTCGATATTATCTTCGGTTTACAGTACTTTACCGATGATAATACTGATTGCCCAGGCCTCACCACGAGGAGGTTGCTGCGAGTGGAGGCCCAAGGCAGATAGATGGAATCACAAGTTCTACATCTACCCACCTTTCACAATAAACCTTATAAATAACTTAAATCTTAACTATGTAATACTATCGGTACTAAAATCCCTCGGCGGATGACTTCTTTCTTAAGCCTCAACCTATAAAAAACTAAGTTCCCTCGTCGGTTGTCTTCGTTCTTCAGCTTAGAACTAATCTTATCTTAATATTCTAATTAATACGAATTAATGCTAGTAATACGAAATAACAAATTTAACGCAATGTAGTCGCTAATACTC